CATTTTCTATCCATAACAATAAAAATTTTAGCTAAGCACGTGGTTATGCATGTAATGACTACTTTCCCAAGCTTCCCATGCAGCTAAGTGTGGCCATGTAAGTACTTACAGCCAATATGTAGCAGTGGCATGGACACCTTTTATTTATTCCTTTCCATGCAGTGTGAATGGATAGAGTGTGCCCTTCCTTTGTTCTTCTCAAACTTGCCACTGGCTGTAATGCTGACATGTGGTATAGCTCCATGTTTAGCATTGCGGGAGGAGCTTGAGCCCTTAATGGTTTGGTCAATGGGAGCTCAAACTTCTTTCGACATGATAGATTTTTAAATTTCTATCTTATTTAAGCTACTGCTAATTTAAGGTCTTCGTCACATCAACTGGGCTAACAAATGCAATACCCTTTAAGCACTTTTATCCAAAAGGGCAAAAATTTTCTTTTAGCTCCAAAATGAGGATCATTAGAAGAAACATTGATTGCTCAGCCTTCACTCACTTGAATACCTTTGAATTAACCAACATTGTTAGCAAGAGAACAATAATAACAATAATAAAAGGTCTCATTCAGATATACATTCCCATGAGCAAATGAATGCAATAGTGTGATTGGTAGTCCTTACAGGATCACATTAGATGGGAAAGCAGCTATTTAAAGGATAGTGCTAAAACATTGAAAATGAGAGATGCTTCTCTAAAGATTCTAAGTGAGAAACTTTAACAGTAAATTATATTTTCACGTATTTGAAAACACATGAGAAAAAAACAACAAATAAACAAAGCTTATCTAATAGGGAAAAGAGTCCACCTTTCAATCAGTGTTACCAAAAACAAGAATAATACAAGTATTAAAATATAGAACATCTCAGGAGATCATTAGGGGATCTCGTCTCCCCTGAAATTGTCTTTATTATTATCCTGGAGGTTTGGTAAGAATAAGGCAAGCCTTCTAATCAGTGGTTTATCAACCTCCTCTTTGACTTTGATTCTTTTCCAAACAGATGCTCCTGATTTAGGGGAAGATTTTAAAGATCATGGACATGAATTACAGATGAATATTCTAAATCCCCAGTGTTCTACTACATTTTATTCTCTTTGTGATTACAAGTGCAATGTCTAGTGCACAGGAGAATGGATATATTTCCAGCACACATAAAAGTACCTAATGTTTCCCATGACTCCCATGTGCTTTTTTCAAAATTGCTCCAGTTGCTACAAGGCCATGAAAGATGTATATCCCCCTTAATATCACATGCTGGACTTGGCATAAAAGTAATATTCTTCATACTATTTGTAGACTTAGCTCCAGGTCTGCACCTTACTTCGCTCTTTTTCTTCCCAGAGACTGACCTCCTTGCTTGGTGTACCATTATATGGTCACTTTTCCCTGACATCTGGACTCATAAAACCATCTCTCCTAGACATTCTTTAAGGATGGGTTAATTTATACTTTTCAGTGGTGGGTTTGTGGGTTCGTGGTCTCCATACATAAAC